AGACCTTGCTGGCAGCCAGATGCCCCTGGGAGGCTGAGGGGACCAGATGGCTCTCCAGGCTGGGGGCACGCACACAGGGCTCCCTCGCTTCCCCATCTTGTGCCCCTGGGCCACAGATGCAGACAGGGCTCTGCCTACTTTTTGCAGGATCTTTTGCCTTTTCAAATCCTGGCTGGTGTGGTTAAACGCAGGGGCTGACAAGTCCAGGCAGCCTTGTCACATGGAAAACTGCCAGGAGTGCTGCAGGGGTGAGAAGGACCCATACCAGCACCCCCCACAGCACAGCAGCCCCCCCAAATCCCACGGCACCCCACGCCTGGTGGTGGCTCACCCAAGGACACACTGCACCAGGGGCAGAGCTGCCGAGGGGCATGCTGCTCCCCTCCTGCAGCCCAGAGCATCACATTCAGGGGTGCCGGGAAGTGGGATGGGAGGCTTCCCACTCTGACCACCTCCATGCCAGCCCCGTTCGGTACAGGGAAACCTGCACAGCTGAGGACACCTCGGGCACCTCCACAGCACATCGGGGGCTGATTCAAAGCAAGGAGCAAGCAAAGGGCACTGGCAATGTGCCACTGGGTTTTAGACTTGCAGAACCACCAGAGAGCGGCTGGAAGGGCTGTAGGAGGTGACCAAGATCTCCCTGCCCCAGGCGGGCAGTGTGGACCTGTGGCCCTGCTTGTAGCGTGGTCCACCCTCAAGCTGGCACTTTCAGCTTGTAGCATGAGGACTTTGGGAATCTGTGGACTCCCTTGAAGGCCATGGAAAGTAAGTCTGAAAAGCAAGCCTAGAGTTAGTGGGCTTACGTGCAGTAATTAGGGCTGGTGTGTCCACACGGATCATGTTTAGGGGTCTGCATATTGAAAAAGGCTGACAAGTCGTGCTGCAGACTCGAACAAAGCAGACAAGGAGAATCCCTGCTGAGACCTTATTTTTTTAAATAAAGGGTGCACATATCTCCAGGACATGTTTATAGTTTTTATAACTGGATTACCTAATTAAATAAGTTCTCATGTCTCCTGAAATCTAACCAGGTCAAAATATGTTGCCCACCCATGGTGTCCTGCGATCGCCAGCCTGATCGCTGAGGCACAGCGATCAAAAGATACGGAAAGCAAAATCTTGTGTCAAAATTAGAATTTTTTTTAGAATCTGTCTTCAGCGTATCCAGATGCGGTGTCTCCTCCCCACACAGCAAAGACGTGGGCGATTTTGGAAGAAGCAGATGTCTGATGCATGGCGCTGTGGTGCCTTTTGCCCCGGGGATCCTCATGACACCGTGTGTAGCAGCAAGGCTGCGTGCTGCCACTCTGAGTCTGATTGCTGCTGATTGCTGGTGGCTGGAAAACTCATGGTGCAATGGGAGCTCTGGCAACCTGACATTTGTAATGACACCCTGTTTTGTCAGGGGGCCTGTTTTGTCCTGGCCCTTTCGTGTGAAAGTTGGGCTCCCCTTTTAACTGGATTCCCCTGGTGTCTCTCTCATCCTAGCAGTGCTGACTCCAGCCTGCAATGGGACATTTATTCTCTCACAAGTAACTGCTTCAAAAGCCCCGCTGGGAAAGCGTAACCCGTCCCTCACGTGTGCTGCCTCTCCTTCAGCAAAGCAGCAAGGCCTGCTCCGGGCACCGTCTGCCTGCAGTCTCTAAATCTATATTTTGAGACCTCATTTTAGAAAAGTCAGTGACAAGAGACTTTTTTGCTTTTACTGGAGGTGCCCGACAGTTTGATCCGTATTCAATTCAGATGCTGAGGGTTTCTCCAGGCTGACAAGGAGCAGCCAGAGGCGACCAATCGCCCCAAGCCAGGGATTGATTTTGTCCTGCAGAGTAATGAAAAGCTCCTTAAAGCATGCAGAGCCAGGAATGTGCCATGCTGGTGAGAGGCACTGAGAGCAAACCGCGAAGGGCAGAGGTGGAAGAAATGGCTTGTCCCCTCCACTGCCACTACCACAGAGCTGGGAGGCCCTGGCACCCTGGGGCTCGGGGCAGCAGCAATCCTGCCAGTGCTCCCCGGTCCCTCTGTGCTGCCTCTCCCCAGCCCAAGACCAAACCACCTGCAAATACATCCTCTTGTGCACTCTGAAAGCGAGCAGCAACCCGGTGGAGAGCCTGGGCTGCTCCCAGGGATGCTCTGGCAAAACGGAGGGGAGCCCGTATGAGAACCGTGCCACTCTCCTTCACTGAGGTTTGCATTTTCCAAGGGAAAGGGCCATTTCACACCATTTATTGGGAGTCCCTTGGGCTTGCCCAGTTTCCCTGCGGTAGGAATTGGCTCTTCCCCCTCCGTCCCAGCCCTGGCTGATGGTGTCACCTCTTGCTCTCTCTAGTGGAGCCGGAGTTCAAGTATGTGGGGAACATGCATGGGAATGAGGTGCTGGGCCGTGAGCTGCTGCTGCAGCTCTCCGAGTTCCTGTGCGAGGAGTACCGCCGGGGCAACGAGCGGATCACCCGCCTCATCCACGACACGCGCATCCACATCATGCCCTCCATGAACCCCGACGGGTACGAAGTGGCTGCCAAGCAGGTACCAGGCAGCGATCGCCTCCTCCAGCCGGGTAGGGGCAGAAAGCCCTTCAAATCCCTGCGAGATCCCCTTCACCAAGCCTATGGGGAGGGGGCATCTTTCCTCTCCATGCCCTGCCAAATTTGTCACCCTCAACTGGTGTTGCTGCTCCTCACCTCCTGTGCCAAGGGCTCACGCTGTGTGGCCCTGGCAAGTGATGGAGGAGGCTTCCTACGCCTGCCTTACCTTCCCCAGAAGTTATTCGTCACAGGAGGGTCGCTGCAAATCCCCTGCCCCCAGGCTGGGGAAATGGCAGGTGAATGCTACTGTCATGAGCAGACAGGGACATGAGGGATGGGGCAGGGGGGAAGCCCTCTAGTCCCCCCCCCAAAACCTCACCCATTCTGTTGTACCGCTAGACCTCGGGGAGTTATCTTATTCATGGCTCTTTCAGTTGAGACAAATTGTTTATTTGGCTTGTGCCTTTCTCTGTGACCCTGGAAAATGAAGATATTGTTATTGACTTTCCCTGTCAGTACCAATACTCTTTATTCTCCTGCCAGCAATAACACACATGTTGCGACTCAAAGGCACCGAAGTGCCGTTATT